GAGCTGTGGTGCGTTCACTTACTAAAGTTATTTTTGAGCAGTGATGCATTCACTTACTGAAGTTAATTTGAGCGGTGATGCGTTTGTTTGATGTTCGAGGAGGAAGATTGTCCGAGTCCTTCATGTTGAATTTTATCTGTGCTCCTCTTTAACCCCACAAACAATCCAGTTAATCTACACCAAAACGAGAGCAATGTTGTAATAACACGACCTCTGACCCCTCGAGTTGATGAATATCAGGGATTACGTGATAATCCACGAGCAGGAGGGAGACGGAGGGAAACCAGAGAGCATGCTGGGACGCCAGGAGGCTGCAGGAGCATGCTGGGGAGTCTTTTCTTTTAACACAAAGTTTGCATTTCAAACTGAATGTGAAGCTTCAAAGTTCATTATTGACCTCAAGAGAACAAAAACTCCCTTCAAGGGCCCTTTTGTAGCTGTTCTGGAGCTTTCAATGATATCACATGATCTTCATCAGTAGATGGAAGTTTGCATAGTTCTCATGGAGTTGTAGATGTTTAAATTTCCATTTTTTTCTGAGCAATTTAAAACTCAAGTATCTTCAATACAGCATGATGTTCATTTAGTAAATTATGGTTAAAGTAAATAGACCATAAGGCTTACTGTGATTGACAGGTCGCTACCAGAGCGTATACAGCGTCTCTACGTTGCTCCTCAGCATTCCAAATATGGTCACTTCCGTTCACTGGTTGCAAAAAGCCAAGATGGCGACGGCCAAATTGCCAAATTCTAAACAATTGCGTGACGTCACTATGAGTACGTCCACTTCCTATATACAGTCTATGATTCAGACGATGAAGCTCCGTAGAGCTCAGGGGGAGTTGCAGAGCCAGGTGACTCTTGAGGTTTCTGCCGAGGCTAGCTGGTTAGCCTGCTCAAGTCTGTAGATACTGACACAATCAGTGTGCAAAATACATTGACCCTTAAAGACAGACTTTTTTTTTAGGGGGGGGGGGGGCTCCGGAAAATTCTTAAAATCATTACTTGTCACTTGCACTTGTTTTTTAAGAGCGCACTATGTCCAGCAGTAGCCTATTCATTTATCAAACTTCAAAACATTTATTGACGAATTTGAATACAGACAAATATTGATTCCTCTTTTCCCCCGAACAGTTATTTATATTCATCGATCGCTGTCCTACATTTGCTGTGACTGAATTGTGATAGACCTGCTCTGCATGAGATGAAACGTTAAACAGCGACGCACCAGAGTGCATGTGTCGGGTTTGAGTTTGTGTGTGTGTGTTGGAGTGCGATCCAAGTGCGTTGTGTGGATGCTGTTGCAGGGCGTCGTTGTTGCATTGTGTAGTTGTGTGAGCGGCCTTATTGTTAACTGTTAGTGACCTGTGTGCAACGTGAATACAGCCTCGAGTGCGTTGGCCTGCATCACTTATATCTCGTGGGCTTCATTGGGTATTGATCATTTGATCACTAGAGTTGATTACATCAGGTATTCCGCACACTGAACACAATACACTGTGACCTCTTCTTCTGTTGATAATGTAAGTTTATTTTTTGAATGTTTTAAACGAGTAACAGATTTTACACGTTGCCCCTTTAAAGCTGATTCTGATAAATACAATTGAAATGAAGCTTTAAATACAAATATTCACAAGATCCAATGTTAATATAAAAATACTGACTAAATATGTAATGATATTTATAATATTATTTATGATATTTGATAATTAATCATATTTAATGACATAATGTGTAGAGGAGTAATGTAATGAATAAATCCCAGTATCAGAGGCTAAGCAAGTAAAACTGAACAGCGTGAAACCACAATGTTAGAAAATACAGTTAGACATTTGTACTATATATGTATATATATATGTATATATATATATATATATATAAACACATTATTCTTGTTTTTGTGCTTCACATTTAAAATATCGTTCTTTTCGTGACAGAGTTTCTGAGCGGCCGGCCGATGAAGACTACAGCTGCAGTCCTTCATTTCATTTTGTTTGGAAACCTTAAGCCTCTTTTTGCAACTTAATTTCCTGATGGTGCTGTGGGGTTAACATGGTTCAGTGCTCCCACATAAGAAATTAAACCGAACTCCTGGGGAATTGCTCTGCTCTCTCAATTTGTGCCGAATCACCAGGGGACCCGTGCAGCGGGGCAACTGATAACTCAGCAAAAACACTCGGTAATTACCCCCAAACTCCAATCAGGTCTCTACCAAACTTTCAAATGAACTGTATTTCATTAGGCGTGGCATGTTGATGTGAGCTTCATTAAGAATTCAGGCATTGTTTGAGCTGTTCCCCTCTGTCTCCAGTTTCTCATAACGAAAATAAGACAGACAGGAAGTCTGCGGAGCGTATAGATGAGGAAGAAACCCTCAGGAAAGAATCAGATTATAAAGGCCAAGTGTCCTTTTACATTTATCGACAAGCTGCCCGACTCAATTTACAAGCTGCCTGGCAGATCCTGGATGGACAGCGTCTTAAACCGAGAAAACAACGCCACAGCGGCTGCTCGTTAAATGTTGTTCACACTTAAAAAGCAAACATATTTTCTCAGTTATGTCTTGTGCTTT